ACAGGGAAAACACATACAACCAATATTTACATTTCTTGTGACAGGATATGTTTATAAGTGTCTCCAGCAGACACTTTTTGAATGATAAGAATGACGGAAAAACTGTCCTTTCTTGAGGCGTTGTTGGGAAGATCTGAATGAAAAGACCTTCTGTTTTTTCTATAGGAGAGAAAGCAGCTTACCTTCCCCTCTAGTTATGATGAAGAGGAGCAGAAGCCTTTTAATTATATAAATTAGACTAATAACATTCAATTTATCTCAGCTCAAAACTTTATACTTCTGAGGAATCTAAGAATGATGACTTTTCTTATTCATAGGTTATTTATATATTATTTTTAAAGGGATTATTGTTGTAGAATGACAATAAAACCAGGTTATATTACAATATGTCATATGGGAGAGGATCATGACAAAAAAACCCAAACAAATATAAATATGTCATTGCAGCTGTGTTTGAGGAATCTAAAATTGTATCCTCTTAATTTGACCTTATAGCGGGTTTTATTGATACCTGTTTTAAAGACAAGGGTTGAGCAGTAATTTAATCTGAGGTACTTGCATTCTGCAACCATTTACATTTACTGTTTAAATGACATCATGGATGAACCAAAAATGATTTTTACTTGCATCAAAATAAAATCTAAGTTCTAATGTTTGAATAAAAGAAACTTATTGACAAACCTAATGAATTTTTGTGGTTCTTCAGCCTCTTTTTTTAACCAACCAACTGTTTGAAATATCGCTCCGATTTGTTAAAGTCATTTAAAGGTAGATAAACATGTAAGTTCTGTTGGGAAATCAAGACTCTAGAAAAGGTGAAATCTAGCTTCTACATTGAAGACTGAGAAAATGATCCATGCTTTCATTACCACTCTTAGATTACTGCAACTCATTATATAGAAGCTTTTCTACAGCGTCCCACATGATCCAAAACACTGGTTTGAACAAGTAACCCCACCACTGTGCATTGGCTGCCTGTATTGTTTTTACAATTAATTGATTTGTTTTTTAAAAGTTTGAAAAGGCTTAGCCTCTACCAACCCACAAGATCTTCTACAGAGCACCAGGACCGAACGATAAAACTACTCCTACAGCAAATTTAAATGCAGAGCAGACTGCACTAGATATGTGGAACAGCTAACCTCTCAATAGAAGCTTGCACCATTTTAAATCACTCTTGAAAGCTCATTTATATTCCATATATTCCTGTTTTTCTTATTTTTGTGTTACATCTAAAAGCACTGAATTTATCAATGGTTTTATGAAAAGCACTTTGGTGCAGCTGCAGGCTGTTTTTAAAGGGCTTCATGAACAATGCTGACATCAACATCCTCAGATTGAAACATGGCGGTGGCAGCATCATGCTGTGGGAGTCTTTGGAGAGGGGGAAAGAAGCTGCTCAGAGAGACATTCTGAAGGAATATAACTGACACATTGTCTCATATGCTAGATGTGGAAATAGCACTTTGTCTCCTCGATTGTCTATTTGGAATAAAGACTCTAAATCAAAGAACATGGACCATATCATATATAACGCAGCTTTTTAGCAGCCAAACGTATAATATTGTTGAACTGATAGGAAAGGAACTATAATTGTTTTGATGTACAGAACTGGAAAAAAGAGTTTTTAGGAATTGGTACCAGGCTGCCATAATCCTAGATAATATACCAGATCCCAGCTTGTCTGGACCTTGGCCTACACTGAAAATGCATTTACAAAAATTTACACAGTAACCACCTGTTAGTGTCTTGATAAGTTACCCCTCTACCTTGTGTATTATAGCTAACTCTGTACCCCCCTCCCCCTTGGGTAAATGCAGTGATGTCATCAGTACACACATTTATTACTTAAGTAAAAGTATAGATACTGCAGTTGAAGTATCAACTCTTTACTCAAGTAAAAGTGAAAAAGTATGTGCTCCAAAAACTACTTAAAGTATAAA